AGAAAGTGCATCTATGGTGACAAAAAAAAACCAAAACCAGATCAGTTGTTACCGGGGGGGCTGAGGTAGGCATGACTGACAGCAAAGGGCACAAGGGAACTTTGGGGATGATGGAAAGATGCTGTATCTTGATTGTGGTGGTAGTTTCATAGGTGTATACATTTGCCAAAATTCATCAAACTGTAGACATTCAACGTGTGTAGTTTCCTATCAATAAATTATGACGCAATATAATCAATTTTTAAGTCTACATGAATCAATATCAATAAATCTCATAAACAAAATCTTGGCTTAACAAAAGCACATTGAAGACAGATATATAAAGTATGACATTTATGCAAAGTTTACCAACATCTGAAATAATATACGTTATTTACGGACACATATGTACGAAAAATGTAATTAAAGCATGCTTGGAAATAATATATAACAAATTTAAGACAGTGGTTATCTCTGGGAGGGAGGAAGAGACAGGGGTTCAGCGACAGGGGAGGGTTCCCCAGAAAGAGTCGTCTGCATCTATAATGCTGTGATAGGCTTAAAAAAAATCTAAAGCAACTATGGCAAAATGCTAATATTCTGAGTGTAAAGCTGGGTGTGAATATCTATGTATTCTTTATATTACTTAGCATACTTTGTGTATTTGGGATATTGGGATAAAAATTACAATGTGACTACATGAAATATGAAGACGTAGAGATGAGAATGTTGAAATCTCTTTAGAGAAGTTTTGCTAAGAAGGAAAAGAAATGATACAGGGCTGGAGGATTATGTGAAGTCAAGTGAGGTTTTTCCTTTCTTCCTGTCTGTTTTTTGAAGGGCAGACAGTGGAGAGCCTGTTCAGAAGTTGATGAAAATGATCTAGCAAACACGATGAAATGGGTAACAATTCAGGAGAGATGAGGTTAAATACAGGGAGAAAACACTGAAAAAGCAAAGAGAAGCTGTGGTGTGTACAGGGTTTTTATTACCATATGGTTGGTAATAGCAGAAAAAAAAATTAGAACAACCTAAACTTACGTAAACAGGCAAAGGATTAAACTGTGGACCAATCACTTTAAGGAATACTATATGCCAGCTAAGAAGAATGAGGACAAATCTTTAAGATCTACACTTAAGTGAAAAAAAAGCAAAATGATCAAAACCACACGAAGGCGTTATTTCTATAAGAGAAGACAAAACCAGACATTTCTATATTCACATATAAATGTATAGAAAGCCAGAGAAAAGTCTGGAAGAAGATGCACTAACCTGACCCCTCTGGAGAGGGGCCTGGAGGGAGGAGGACGTTCGGGGGATGTTTGTTATCTGTATTATCAGAGTATTTTGCATCGAGAATGCTGTCCTGTATTACTTGGGCAAAACCAAAAAGAGTGTGGAAAACAAATGAAGACTGCCCTCATGTGCCATTTACACGTACAAATGTAGTGAGCACAGAATCACAACTGGTATTTCTTCCATGTCCAACATATTCATATTATCGGTAACTAGCTAATGTTGATTTTTCTCCAAATTTGCCTTGTAGTGGAAAGTAACATTTGGCTATAAGCTATTGATAAAGATTCCCATGCATCATGCAGTCATAAACACTTACTACCACGTGCCAGGCTCCACATTCAGCTGTGGGACCATAGGGTGATGGGGACACAGTCCCTGCCCTTTATGGGGCAATCTGTGTCTAACAGGAAGGATTGTCCGGGAAAAAAAAATAATTGTAGTACATACCCTTATCATACGATCCACAGTCTCGCCCCTTGGTATCTACCGAAATGAGTTAAAAACTTGTGTCCACAGCAAAACCTGCACACAGATGCTGATAGCAGCTTGATTCATAATTGCTGAAACTTGGAAGCAACCATGATGTCCTTCAGTGGGTGAACGGATAAATAAACTGTGGTATTGTCAGACAGTGGAATATTAGCAAGCCGTGAAAAGACACGGAGCAACCTTAAATGTCTATCCTGAAGTGAAAGAAGGCCACCTGAAAAGGCCACATACTGTATGATTTCAACTATGTGACATTTTAGAAAAGGCAAAACTCGAGACAGCAAAAAGGTCAGTGGTTTCCAGGGGCTGGGGGGAGGGAGGGACAAACAGAAGAAGCACAGAGGATTTTTAGGGCAGTGAAACTATTCCGTATGATACTATAATGGTGGATATATGTCATTACACATTTGTCAAAACCCGTAGGATGGAGCCAGCTCTGATGGCCTGGTGGTTAAAGTTCAGTGCACTCTGCTTCTGTGGCCCAGGTTTGATTCCCAGGAGTGGAAATGAAACCAAGCAATGGGCTCGCTCTGTTTGCCACAGTCTGAGCCAATTAATCACAACGAGTTAGAGATCAAGAAAGGAAGCTTTAATTCAGCTAGCCTGCATAATTGGCAAGATGCCAGACGAATGTCTCAAAAAAACCCATCTTCAAGGATTGCAGAATCTTGAGGCAGTTATATGGGGAAAATGGGCAGTAAGGAGGGGGTTTCCTTCAGGCACGACGGACTCCAGGGTCTTTCATTGTTCTTTTCTTCTGTCAGCTGTGATGGATACCTTGTGGTCAGCCTGTTCCTGGAGAGAAACTCATAGAACAAAGTTTCAATTTATCAAGCTATTGGGGAGCACATATGTAAGCGAAGACCATAAATCAGGAGAGCATGTGAGTTTTTTAGAGTATGTGCAGAGCAGCAAGTAGTCCCACAGACGAGGGGCTGGGGCCATTTAACAACAAGATGGCCTCACTTTTGCTCACTTACAGAACCACATTGCTTGTCTGTCCGTAGCCATGCTGTGGCAGTGGCTCACATAGAACTCGAAGGACCTACAACTAGAATATACAGCTAGGTGCTGGAGCTCTGGGGAGGGAAAAAAGAGAGAGAGAGAGAGAGGGGAAGATTGGCAACAGATGTTAGCTCGGGGCGAATCCTTCCCAGAAAAAAACATAGAATGTACAACACCAAGAGTGAACCCTAATGTAGACTATGGACTCTGGGTGATAATGATGTGTCAATGTAGGTTCCTCGATTACAACAAATGTACCATCTGATGAGGGATGTTGATAGTGGGGGAGGCTGTGCATATGTCAGGGTAGAAATTCAATGGGTAGGGCCTGGCCCAGTGGCGCAGCGGTTAACTGCACACGTTCCACTTCGGCGGCCTGGGGTTTGCTGGTTCAGATCCCAGGTGCAGACATGGCACTGCTTGGCACGCCATGCTGTGGCAGGCATCCCACATATAAAGTAGAGGAAGATGGGCATGGATGTGAGCTCAGGGCCAGTCTTCCTCAGAAAAAAGAGGAGGATTGGCAGCAGTTAGCTCAGGGCTAATCTTTCTCAAAAAAAAAAAAGAAAGAAATTCAATGGGTAATCTTTGTACTTTCTGCTCAATTTTACTGCGAACCTAAAACTACTCTCAAAAGTAAAGTCTGTTTTTAAAAATATAATTGTAATCCTTCCAACTCTAAAATTATATTATTCTAAATATTTTTGTAAAGAAACAATTCTTATTCATTAATCTTTAAAATCAATTTAAAGTCTCCTTTGTTTTTGAGGTTCCAAACCAAGTTAAACATTCTTTTAAAATGTCCACATGCATTCTTTAAAAGTACTGTTTCTTTTATAATTTTAAAAGGCAATTTATATCTAATATTTACATAAGTCACAACACAAATATTTATACTTAAATGGCACTTATGTAGCAGCAGATTTTTTAAAAATACTGAATGATGTGGTCCTGCTCGTAACACTCATTTGTATCATCTGGTCTGATCTGCCAGCAGGTGGCATCTGAGTCCTGAGGGTTGGAAACGTTCATCTGATCGTCCCCGGAGATACAGCCAGCCTTTGATGCGCCCTCGCCCTTCCTGTGCTAGCTGCTACAGCCGCCTGCGTGAAGCACGATTTATCGGTGGCTGCACTGAAAAGCTGAGTCCCATTCCATGCCCTGTGGTCTGCTCTCCTCCCTGTTGTAAGAAATAGGGCATGAGAAGGAAGGATGAAGAATGCTGGGGGCTTCTGCTAGGAGGGAAAAAGAAGAAAAAGACCCAGTTGCTGAGTTCTCACTGTATGCCAGGCCCGGCGCCAAGCCCTCAATGTGCATCATCTCATTGGATCCTACAAGAATCCCATAAACTGGGTGAGCATCATTATCTTCCTCTTATGGGAAAACTGAGGCTCTTGCCTAAGGTCCCCTCCCTCCCCGCCCGGCCAATAACACCAGCCCCTGCATCCTCACAGGGAGCCTTCGTTGGAGCGATGGTTAATTTCATGTGTCAATCTGACTGCCTGGGAGGAGCCCAGATAGCTGGGAAGACATTAATTCTGGGCGTGTGTGAGGTGTTTCTGGAAGAGGTTAGCATTTGCATCAGTAGACTGAGGATGAGTTCTGCCCTCGCCGGTGCCAGTGAGCATCATCCAATCCCTTGAGGGCCTGAATGGGGCAAAAAGGGGAAGGAAAGTCACATTCTGTCTCTTGGCCGTGAGCGTTGGAGCTCCTGGTTCTCCGTCCTTCCTCCGAGACTCAGCCCTGTGGTCCCCCAGTTCTCAGGCCTTTGCTCTCGGGCTGGGAGTTGCATCATCAGCCACCCTGGTTTTCAGGCCCTCAGCTGGAGACTGAGTTATGTACGGTTCTCCAGCTTGTAGACAGAAGGTCGTGGGACCTCTCAGCCTCGGTAACCACCAGAGCCAGTTCCTGCAACAAATCTGCTCTAATATGTATCTGTGCATATCCTATTGGTGTCAGGAGAGCCCTGGCTAGTATGGTGCCTTGCCACAGCGCACTCATTGGCCCACAGGTATTTTGTTTTACATCCTGATGTGCTGATTTCAAAACATGCTCTGCTAGTCTTCTTTGATGGGGGAGAAGGGCGGTGTTACGGGCATAAAGCCAGTCTCTCACTGACATGACCTAGCTCCTCAAAAGGACAGAATTTTTTAATGTGGTATAGAAATACGAAAAAAATGTCACACAGCTATATGATTTTAGTACTGTGCTAAAAGGAGTGTGGATGTCTTTCGTGGCTACAGCTAGCTCAATTCGGGAAGGACTGCCACCCACCCACGACGGGCCCAGAGGCTCCGGCAAGTCTGCAGTGTGGATAACCCCTTCCAGAACCGGGGGCTCTGCCCTGTGTCGTGCAGCCCTTTCCCAGCATAAAGCCAGAAACCGAGACTTATGGATCCACCTGGAGAACCAGAGGAATGCTCGTGTCCAGGGTCACAGCCTGAGTCAGCAGTGAGGCCGGCTGCTGCCAAGAGCCCTTTGCTCCAATGGCTCATAGGCCACTTACTGTGTTCTCGTTGTGATATTAGCCCCTGAACAGCCACAGAAATAAAAAGGAGGTAAGAGATGCCCCAGGGAGAGGAAAGAACTGGAAGGAATGATAAAAATGTTCTGAGTTCCTGGAGCGGAACCTCTCCCAGCAGCGAGAGTTTCTGATCATAGACAACTCAGTGCCTTCTTTTTTTTTCCATCAGTAACTGGAGATTCCTGAGGTGTAAACTGGGAAAACAGATTCATAAATCATAGAGGACACCAGACGGTTTACATTGAGGTTCTCTTTAGCTCTGGCTGCTTCTTTACAACTATCCACCCAGCAGGAATTCCCACATGTACGTCTCAGGCCCGAATCCCCCTCCAGAAATTCAGATTCATACTTCTGACTCTATGGGACACATGTCCCGGAGGATTCCGTCAATTCTCTGAGTCAACTTTGACCCCCTGCATCCCGCACCCCGCCTGGACCACCTTTTCTTGTTCCATTCATGTCGAGCAGCAGATGTCTGAAACTATGGGTCTGTGATCTCTTCACAATGTACCTAGATTTCAGTTTTCAGGTGCCCAGAAGAAAGCTTTTGATGGATGCACCCAACTAGGCGGGCATATAACAGGGCCACAGAATGGGCTCCAAGTCATGGGATGTCTTGTTGCCACAGTGAGGACAGGGGCTCGTGCTAAGCCAGACAGTCCTGGGCCGTCCTAAGTCCCTCAGAATCTCTATCAGCTCAGCCCTAAACCAGGCAAGTCTGCCCAGGTGGAGAGCCCCCCAGGGGCTGTAACTCTCCAGAGGGGCAGGATACACCTCCAGCCTTAATCGGCGCAGCCCGTCGGTGTGGCGCAGCAGCCTCCCCATGACGGCCATGGAGAGGGGGTTCCCACACATGCTGAAGGTCCTGAGCTGGGAGCAGTGGCTCAGGGCAGGCAGGATGGCCTCGAGATGGGAGTCCGCGATCCCACACTGATCCAAGTCCAGGTTCTGGAGGGTGGCTGCAACTTTCTCCAGCAGGATTTGGAGGGGCTCAGGACTCAAATAGGTCAGGCTGATGCCACTCAGATCCAGGTTCTGTAGCTGACTGATGTTCAGGCAGTGGGACAGGTGTGTCAAGTCTGATTCCGTAAGATGGCAGTTAGTTAATGAGAGGGTCTCCAAGGGGGTCTTCAGGCACCTGGGGAGAAACTGAGCGGTTAGGTCTGGGGAATGGGGGTGGCAGGTGGCCTCAAGGTGGGAGACGACTTGCCCAAGCCCAAGGTCACTCTGACCGTCTGATGAAGGTCAATGACCAGGGTGCCCAGTCTCACTTTAGGCCGGGTCCTTTCACCTTTGCTTGTCTGACTGGGTCAAGTTCACAAAATCTCTGAAGCTCCCTTTCCTCATCTGTCAAGCTGAGTACAACATACTCCACTTATGAGGATGAATGAAGATAACGGAATGTGCTAGAACATGCTCAGAAGAGAACCTGACACCAGCATCTCAACCAAGTGTGGGCATCATTGAATTTTAATACTGGGACACAAGACCAAAAATGCTCTCACCTTGAGCTTCCTTCAAGCCACTGCTTGGGCTCTAGGCGCCCCTGTCTCCTGGCCAGGCAAAGCCAGTGGGAGCCATGCACAAAACACAAATGTGGGCAGAATCCCGCAACATCGGCTGGGGTCGCCAGTCTGCAGGGGTTCACTCACGTCCCTGCGTCATCACCAAATCATCTGCCATTTTTATCATCCTTTTCGCTCCAGCTCCCTTTCCATCATCTCCAGAATCATGCATTTCCCCTATATTATTGACCTTACCTGGGGCACAAAACAACCTTTTACAGATGGGGAGTCTGGGCCAGGCTCATTCGTGTTCACAAAGCTTGTGAACACAAAGCCTACCTTTGGCAATGCTCGGGTCTGATGCAGCTTCCGCTCTTCGATGCCCTCCGCCCTCATCTGTTTTTCTACGTCATCTCAACTTAGACACCACTTCCTAAAGAAGAATTCACAAACCCACCCTCGCTAGGTCTGAGCTCCCCCATATATTGCTGCAAGCGTGCCCTTTCCATAGCCTCTCTGACAGTTTGTCCCTCTACCTTTATTTGGTGAGTATGCGATACCACACTTTAGGATAGAGCAGCAAACGAGACAATGCATTTGACATTCTAGAGTCACGTTCAGTTACCCTGCCAGTGGCACCACCGCTCACCTGAGCATCTGGTCCAGGCAGCCTTCGAGGAAGGAAGGAGAGTCTATATAGAGCCCCCGGAGGTGGTGCAGCCTGAGGACCTGAGAGGTGAAGTGGGCGACTTGCCGCTCCTCCTCCTCGGAGGCGGCCGCGTGGATGTGGGCGAGAAGGAGTCTCTGCACGTTACTCATCCGGCCCAGGTAAGGAGCAAACACTCCCAGGGTGGACAGCTGCCAGGGGCAGTTGACTTCCACCTGCTGGATGCAGTCCAGCTGCACCATATTCAAGACCTTCTCAATATTTTGGATGGGCATGGCGAAAATCCTCAGCTTCTTACAGCACAGATGTAGCCAACCTTCTCTCTGCTTGACCCACGTAATGAGGTAGGTGAGGAATTCATCCAGGGTCGTTTCCTTGAGGCAAAGGTCTACGAACACCTTCAAGGGAGCCAAGGGCTGCTTCGACCTTGAACTGTCCTCAGCCCCTGGTCCCATCGGTGAGCACATGTGGACCCCGGCTCCAGACCACAGGCTCCAGAAGTTCTGACCACCGTTCCGTAAATCCAGCACCTGCAGTTTCCACCTCCTGGGGGGAAAAACCAGAGATTGGCTGAGATGCTTTAAGCTCAATGCAGAGTGAGGCCACGAGTTGCAGAATTTAGGCGACAATCAGACCCCCACTTGTGTTTTATTTCACATCCTGGACGTCGGCTGCTCCCTTGCCCTCTTCCCTCTGCCTTACATTTCCCCACCCCCCCTTCCCCTTCCATCCTTCCTGGTCTCCACCTCCAGCACCTTTAAGTATCCGGGAGGAGGCGGGCGCATGCTCTTTCAGGTGGCCTGCATCTTAAGCAGCCCTCCACTTCCGGAAGGCATTCCCAAAGTGAGCTCAGCAAGGCCAAGGCGTCTAGCTTCTTGACTGGCATCATCAGAAGCCTCTGGTCCACCCCCTGGCCTTCCGTGCTCTCTGATGCCAGCTGCCTCTTCTGGGAGGCTCAGGACCCTACCAGGCTACCTGGATCAGCCTTACCTGGGGCGAACCTTCTGGGCAAGCAGGACATCGAGCCCATCAAGCGCGGCTTGTAAGATCTCCTGGTGAGGCGTCTGCATCAGGCCCCCCAGAGGGAGACGGGCAAAGGGCCAGGCCTGCACCATCGCCTTCAGGGTCTTTGTGTGTCTCCCATTGAAGGCCTCCATGAACAGTGGTGGGAAGAGTTCGGGGGGCAGCAACTCCAGAGCTGCGATGGCCGAGGCCTCGTCCCTCAGCAGGCTCTGACCTGCCAGTTCCAGGAGTCTGGGTGGGACCCGGACACTCATCCTGAATCTGCTCCAGAAGAAATCCTGCAGAAACGTCCAGGGAACAAGGCTTCCTGCTCAGGCCAAGCGTGAGGCAGCCCATCGTGGGTCCCCCCACCCTTCAGAGGAACCCACTCAGGGTCCTGCCCTGGCAATGGTGGAAGAGCCTCAGTTTACCCCAACTCCACTCCGGGCTCAGTGGCCACAAAGCCATAGCTCTGTCCCTCTGGCACCAGGACAAGTGTCCCAAGGAAGTGAAAGGCCAACCACCAGCCCATCCATGTCCACCCACGGCTTCACTTAATCCCAGCCCCACGGTAAAGTGGGTGCCTAGGAGCCTGAAAGCTGAGCCCCACCTTTTGGGGGGAAAACTTTCAGACCGTTATTCAAGACCCTAAAACAATGGGAATGGGAGCATCACATGGCCCAGCACAGCCTACATTCTCAGTCCCCAGTTAACCCGGCTGGGAGAGATTAAGGAGATACCCCTAAAATGAATGCCATTCGTTTTCACTTTAAAAATTTTGAATGAGAAATTGTAAAAGCCGTGTAACAAACAGTAGGATCTAGAATTTGGAAGTTGGCAACGGAAAACACCAATTTCTATGCATTATCTCTTTACATGTGTTAGAATTACCACTTTGAGGAGGAGTTCAGGGGAAAAATAGTTCACATGCCAAAGAGATGCCGCTCTAAAAATATCATATGAAATGTTTTCAAGCTTTTAGTTAATAAGGAAGCCTAACTAGTAAAATCACAAAACCACGAACTATGTGAGCTACAATCGAAGTGCATAAACTAAATATTTAAAATGTCAAGAAATAAACCTCCAGTTAGATGTTTTTCTTTAAAAAAAAATCTTCTCGGTTAAGACATTTAAAAATGATCTAAACCAAAGCACAAATCAAAGTGTTTGGGATTAAGGCAAGAATGCCTCTAGAGGCAAAACCAAAGCCATTTAGAGGAAAAGAAAGAAAAAGGAAAACTTTCTGCGCTGTCTTGGGCTGCTGGTCGCTATGGAGACTGGCAGCCTAGGTCAGATGGGGGAGCCCTCAGCTGAGGTCGGTAACTTACCAGCTCTGACAGCGAGTGCTGGGCGCTCAGATCTCAGACCTGCTGGAGACCCCAGGGTGTGAGGATTCTGCATCTCTTCGGTGCCTGAGACTTATATACACCTTTCTGATCACATCTTCCCCTTTGCAACTACTAACCTCCAATTGGAAAGCGACACCTGATTAGATCCCTGAATCTCCATCCAGTTAATCCTGATTGGGTCTTCGCCTTTCTCCAGATGAATTGATTGAATCAGAGATCCGTTCAGAAAAGAGAAAGAATTAAGGACGAGGGGGAGGGGGGTGTCAGGGACTTTGATGGGTTCACTCCACAGACACCACTGTTTCACTGATGTGGGACAGTCACAGCCCTGAGTGTGAAACGGGAGGGTTTAATCCACTTCCGACATTAGATAGACAGAACAAAACCTGAAAGCATCATTGTTGGGGACTGTCGGCCACATCAAAATCATCAAAATGTTCCAGAGTGAAAACAGCTCCACGAAGACAGTGGTGTCATCCCCAAAGAAAATAAAATAAACGTCTTCTTGTATTCAGTTCTGAGAAATCCGTCATAAGATAATGTTGTCGTCGTGCGAGCATCATGGAGTGAACTTACGCAGAGCTGGATGGCACAGCCTGCGGCACACCTAGGTTGTGTGGTACTAATCTTATGGGACCACCGTCGTAGATGCGGTCTGTCGTTGACGAAACATCGTTATGTGGGGCATGGCTGTGTGGAGTTTTTTCCTTGGGGAGGAGGGAGATTGCAAGACTTTTCTCCGGGTGGAGTTTAGAAATGAAAAGGGGAGGGGCTGAAGTGGAGACAGTGTCATCCTTCAGGGCAGGGAGAGAGAGTGTCTTCCATCCCTCCCAGAAGGAAAAGGGTGTTTCCCCCCAGAAAGATGGGATCAGCTCAGCAAAGTGGCTTGAGAAGACCAAATCCAAGAATATGAGCGGAGGGAGAGGCGCCAGCCCTGGGAAGTCAGACATCTCCAAGTCTGAAAGCCACTGAGGGGGGATGCTGTGGACTCGGGGATCTTGGAGCCAGGGAGAGAAATAAACCTGGGTCAGTTGCAGGTAGCCCTGTCATCACCGTGGCAGCTGCTACTGGGGGACATTTTCTTTTAGGGTCAGTGTTCTTCCCGCAGAGGACACTTCCCAGACAGCAGTTAGCCCCAGCCATTTTCCAGGGGCCTTGGGAGCCTAACCATAATCCCATTGGCCCTTTTCCAAGAATATGTTGATAATGAACATTTCCTCAAACTTAGAGAGAAATGCAGCTTCAAAAAACCCCCTCCCGCCCCCAAGCTCCTTCGACACAGAAATTCTGATCAAAGACACACCATGAGGCCTAGAAGTAAAATTTTGTTTTTCTCTTCCTATTAAGCGTGGTGCACGGACACCAACACCTTCCCCCCACAAAACTCAGAAGCTATATTTAGTATTTAAGGATCTGCCACGTTCAGGGACAACTCCTACCCTGGGCTGGATCACACGTGGACTCTTTTGAAGTTTCAGGACACAAAGAAAGCAAGGATGTCCACCTGCAAAGAATTCTCCATGCCTTTCTCTTCCCCCACTTAAGGTGATGCCCAAGCAATTCTTATCTACCACTGGCCACCAGGGCCAGGACTCTTTGAAGGATGTTCTCCATCTTGGTATCTCTCCAGAAGTTTCCTTTCGCCACATTTCTACCCTCCATATAAATGGCCTTTGCGTAAAAGTGGGTTAAACTGGATTGTACTCAATAGACTCTTTAATTCCCAGGCAATCACCTTTATTAATGAGCTGAAGTAGAGGGAAATCATTAACAAGGAAAACCGTAAACACCTCTGTTTATTGAACACCATCGGGCAAGCAACTTTCATCCACTGACTCCAATAACCTTCACAGAAAATCCAAAGTTTGCTGCTAGTTTCCTCATTTTGCATGCTGGTGAAGCCAGGGCTGGGCTGGGGAGAGGGACCCGCCCACGCTGATGCAGCAAATACGTGGTACAGCCTGGGCATTTAAGCCGCGGAAGTGGATGCCCTTTGGGAATTTTGCAGTTCAGCCTCTTCCCTCATCACAGCCTCTTTGGACTTTAAGAATTGTGCTTTTCAGGAGGAAATGAGCAAGAATGAGGTCTGGCACTGTGCCCCTGTCATCCAAGGGACCCCCAATCTCCTCCTGTGAGCCGTAGGAAGGCCGTGGTACATGAAAGTGAAACCAGGGCCCATCAGGCTGTCCGCCACTTTCCAGCAGAATGAAGGAGGAGCACAGGGACCCCGCAGTGATCTTTGGGGCACTGACCCTCCCCCTTGTGGGAAAAATCCTCTAACGTCCAGCGCTGAGGACTGCCAGGAGCCTGGGGGTGGAGACTGCGTGCCCGTTTGCCGGGAAGTCTCCAGCCCACCGGACGCTCCCCAATCCCCAGTACCTGACACGGCCCCCTCACACTTCTCTCCTTGATTCATTTACTTCTTCTTCTTAGAACTGAGAACTTGTACCCTTTGACCTGCATCACCCCGTTTCCCCTCCCCCCAGCCCCTGGCAACCACCATTCTACTGTCCGTTTCTGTGAAATCAGTTTTTTTTAGATTCCACATATAAATGATACCATATAGTATTCATCTTTGTCTGTCTGGCTTCTTTCAGTTAGCATCATGCCCTCCAGATTCATCCATGTCGTTGTAATTGGCAGGATTTCCTTCCCTATTTTATGGCCGAATAATATGCCATTGTGTATATATACCACATGTTCTTTATCCATTCATCCATCAAAGGACATTTAGTTGTTTCCATGTCTTGGCTGTCGTGAGTAACGCTGCAGTGACATGGGGCTGCGGATGTCTTTTTGAGGATCTAATGTATGGCATGGTGACTATGGTTAACAAGTGCCATTGTAGGCCTGGCCCGGTGGCATAGTGGTTAAGTTTACGTGCACCACTTTGGCGGCCCAGGGTTAGAAGGTTCGGATCCTGGGCACAGACCTACACACCACTCATCAAGCCATGCTGTGGTCGAGCCCCACATACAAAATAGAGGAAGATTGGCACAGATGTTAGCTCAGGGCCAATCTTCCTCACACACACAAAAAGGTATTGTAAAGTTGAAAGTTGCTGAGAGTAGATTTTAAGCATTCTCACCACACAAAAACAATTAACCATGTGAGGTGATGATGTGTTAATTATCTTGATTTGGTAATCAGTCCCCAACGTGTACATATATCAAATCATCACCTTGCACACTTTAAATATACGCAATTATATTTGGAGATTGTTCTCCAATTAAAAAGAAAAAAGTATTTGCCGGGTGCTGAGGTGTGTGGACTGCCACTCTGGGTGACAGGGAAACATCCAGTGAATACAACACAGTCCTGCTCCCAGGTTCTCTCATGCGCAGACCTTACGTGCTATTGAGGCCGACAAAAAACATGAAGCTGAAAAATAAACTCAACGCAGGCCGACCCGTCCCTAGACCACAGTGGTTCAGGATGGTAGACAGCACTGCGCAAGCCGAAACTGCACGGCACTCTGAATAACCCAGTTAGAGGTTAGGATCATCCTGTGACCGACCGTTAAATAAGTAAGAGCTCTCTTACTGTGGTTATACACGCATTGGGAAATGAAGAAACAGTGAAACTAATATTTATTTAATACACCGTAATTTAAAACATTGAGAATTCAAGTGCTTTATTTTTTTGTTAAAAACTTAGTAGTTTGAGCAGCGATTGCCTTCCTCTCCGGGCATGACTGAGACAGGGAGCCAGCATGCCTCTGTGCTTTGACGAACTGTCAAACTCCTTTCTATGTTTGTGGACGGGCTTCCCACATCTGATCCTTTGTGCTTGCAATGTCATGAAATATCGCCTGGAGTTCCATTAATGTGACGTTCCTTGCTGGTGTCACTTCCTCTGGGACGTCTTCAACCCTTTTCTTCACACATTTTCCCCCTTTAAGCATCTCTGGGAGATGGGGAATGTGAGCCTGCGGGACTACTGCGGAGAAGGTGTCCCGGAACCCACGAGGTCTGATCTTTCCAGAAGTGGGCCCAGGGGCGCTTGGGAGTGAGGGAGGGGCTGTGGGGAGGGAGGGCCCCCTGACCCCTTCCCCTCCCCTGAGGTCACAGCAGGTTTCCATCCCTCAGGGGATTCTTGCACCTGGGAGTCACGCAGGGCTCAGCGAGGGTCCTGTGGGGAGAGGGTGGGTGCAGGGCCCTCAGGGTCTCAAGCGCAGCTTTTTTGTTTGTTTGTTTTGTTTTGTTTTGTTTTTGAGGAAGATTAGCCCTGAGCTAACTACTGCCAGTCCTCCTCTTTTTGCTGAGGAAGCCTGGCTCTGAGCTAACATCCGTGCCCATCTTCCTCTAGTTTATACGTGGGACGCCTACCACAGCACGGCTGTCAAGGAGTGCCGTGTCCGCACCTGGGATCCGAACCAGCGAACCCCGGGCCGCCGAGAAGCGGAACGTGCGAACTTAACCGCTGCGCCACCGGGCCGGCCCCTCAAGTGCAGCTTTAACATCATCTCCGAATGATGGCTTTTACCCAGTGGTCCCATATTCTCCTATCCCAAGACTTTTTGCTGGCCTAGGCAGAGAATAAGGAGTGAAAGTCACATGGGCCCCGTCCTCACGGAATGCTGTCATTTGTGTTTGTGGACATCTTGGATCTGCGTGCCGAGACATCCAGAAGATGATCATTAAAGTGAGAGAAATGGTTACGGTAATGTGGTGGGAATTTGAGTTATAAATCCGCCCAACTTTTCTGTATTTTATTGAACATTTCCTACTATCATTCTTTCTCCTTGACCAGTGATGAAAATAAAGGCATCCTCATTTTGGAAAAGCAAGAGCCAACCTACAGTGAATTCAAGAGATAAAGAGAGAGAATTTAACAACCTTCCTTGAGGGAAGAAAAAGAGGGCACATACATTTAAAAAGAGCCTGGGAGGGGCCGGCCTGGTGGTGCAGCGGTTAAGTGCGCACGTTCGGCTCCGGCGGCCCGGGGTTCACCAGCCCGGGTGCTGGGTGTAGACATGGCACCACTTGTCAAGCCATGCTGTGGTAGGCGTCCCACATATAAAGTAGAGGAAGATGGGCACGGATGTTAGCTCAGGGCCAGTCTTCCTCAGCAAAAAGAGGAGGATTGGCAGCAGTTAGCTCAGGGCTAATCTTCCTCCAAAAAAAAAAAAGAGCCTGGGACTCAGCGAGGTCAGGTCCAGTCTGGGGTGTGCACAGATGAGAGAGTAAAGGATGGAGAGAGGAAAATACATTTTTCTATGACCAATCTAGTAAGCCCAGAGTTGAAAGGGACTGAACTTTCAAACCAACGATGCCGGGGCTGAAAGTCTAGCGCCTGCCAATTCGGGGAAACACCTGGCCTTTCCCGAGTAGGATTTTCCAGCCAGAGTCAAGCAAGGCTGCCGCGAACTTTGATGCTGTCCTGTGATTATTCAGACACAGAGGCCACGAAGGACAAACTATTGGCACAAGAGCCACAGACTTAAAAAGTGGCCGATCAAGACAGAACCCAGGCCTGCTGAACCCCAGTCCACCACTCTTGTCCCCAGTGCGGGGCTTCCCTGGATGGACAGCTGTGATGTCCTGTGACAGAGCATTTCTGATCCAATAAGGCATGCCTGAAATGGCCTCTAAACCTCAAATCTGCTTCAGGATTAAGTGGATGCAGAACGCTGAGCAAGGTCTTGGAAGAGTCCAGGCCTGGCTGCTCTGCGTTCCCAGCAAGGCTCTGTGTCCTCGTGGGAGAACCACCACTTTCCAGAATTCTTTTGGGGCAGCTCTGAAGGAGCTCAGGTGGAAAGGCAGGGCCTTCGGCCGAGGGGCACCGTCATTTCATCCCCATCTCAGGCCTCCTGCAGAGTCTGGTACTTGAGGAGAGCAAGGGGGACCCTCCCCAGGGGTGTGAGGGGACAGGGGGCTGGGTGTGCCCGGACGGGAAATCACTAGAAGGTCAGGTGCACACTGACGACAGCTCTGTGTCCCTGAAGACCTGGCCTCAGAGAACACGTCTCCCTCACACCCTTCTGCCTGGGCCAGGACGCCCGCACGCTCTGCTGGGCAGCAAGCCTCAAGGGCTTAGAGCCTAAGAATTCTCGGGTCCAGGCCACAGACCCTCCTTCATTCTCGGATGCTTGGAGCCCAGCACCAGTGCTGCCGTCTCAGGAAGCAGAGCTCTGGGGGCGTCTCCACCAAGACCTGGCCTCCACCCACACCCCCGCTTCTCTGTGCGCCTTACCTTGGCCTGAGTCTGGCTAGAAGATCCTACACGAGGGAAAGGCAAAGTGTTTCCCTGAATTGGTACATTACCCAGGTAAGGGCCAGCAAAGGTGGTGTGTGAACAGGGGTGATGCCCTCTCTGCCTCCTTTCCAGGCTCCCCTGGGGCCTTGGCCCTGAACCCACCTTTCTCTACATGTTTCCCTCCTCTCAGGGTCCTGAGCTCAGTGCACCTGACTCATTTCCTTCAGCATCCAGGCCTCCCGGACAGATGAATGACCATCATCTCCTGCTCCGAAGGCAGCAGCAACGCTGGTGAGTAGAGCCGTATCTCCTGGTTCCAGCAGCGCCCCCATAGCTCCCCAACACTCCTGGTTTAAGGTGACAGTTCTCAGCCCTCGGGGGTCCCAGCTCTATTCTCTGGCCCCCAATCCAGCAGCGCGGCCCCTCGGACCATCTCCAGGCTCCAGCCTGAGGGCCAGCCTGCTTATCACTGTGTCCTGGGACAACCGTCGCATTCACACAGGGGCCCCAGCTCCTGGGGAATGGAGACCCAGAGCTTCGCACCAGCCACATGGCACAGACTTGATTTCTGCTGTCACTTCTGCTCGTCGCCTCAGGGCCGCAGGTGCTTCAGGAAGACGGTCCCCACAAAGCTCCTGTCTGCTATTAAGGAAGATATTAAAGAGATTCTAAAATTGAAAACAGCGCCACAGCGGCATTGGTGAAAATGGTTAATAGTTCATTTATGGTTAATAGTTAATTTTATGTGATGTGAATTTTCCCTCAATTAAAAAAAAAAAAGTGCCTGACCAAAGGTCCCCTCTTGTATGATTCCGTGGATGTGAAGTACCCCGAACGGGCAAATCCGCAAAGATGGAAATTCGATCGGTGGTCAGGAGCTGGCAGTTTGGGGAGGAAATGGGAGATGACTGTTAGTGGGCACAGAGCTTCCTTTGGGGGCAACGAAAATGTTCTAGAATTGATTGTGGTGACGGATGCACAACTCTGTGAATATACTAAAACCACTGAACTGTCTTTCAATGGTTGAATTGTATAGTATGGAACCCATATTCCGATAAAGCTGTTATGTTTTTTTAAATGCCACACTTCATACTAAATTTTTTTAGATTTTGGAAAACATAACTACTTTTGATAAATATAGTTTGAAAAAATGTTATTTATATGCATATGTAATGGGTTTGGTGGTGTTATATATAATTGAACTTTTTTTTAAGCATGGACTTCTTTTTTTTTTTTTAAAGACTGGCACCTGAGCTAACATCTGTTGCCAATCTTCTTTTTCTTTTCTTCTTCTCC